GTACGTACGTACGTACGTACGTATGTTTACACCCATAGATACATGCGGTGCCCCACCGTCTTGTTTCCATTCTCGGGACAGGCATACTAAGACACGAACTCAGTCCTTCAGCCAGAAGGAATGTCCCACACAACAACCTCAACCTCATAAAGCCACGCCCGAAACCCCTAAACCCTAAACCCTAAACCCTAAACCCTAAACGCTAAACCCTGAACCCTGAACCCTGAACCCTGAACCGTAAACCCTAAACCCCTAGACCCTAAACCCTATACCCTAAACCCTAAACCCTGAACCCTGAACCCTAAACCCTGAACCCTAAACCCTGAACCGTAAACCCATTCGACCTCGTTCTGCAGCAGCGGGAGGTCCGCCGGGAGGGGCCATGTGGTCGCCGCGTGGAGCGCGGCAACTGCGGGGGGGTCCCAAACTTTGGCGTGTTTCAGGTTTGGGGGTTTAGGGTTTGGGGTTTAGGGTTTAGGTTTCAGGTTTGGGGGTTTAGGGTTTAGGGTTTAGGGGGTTTCGGGGTTTAGGGCTTTAGGGCTTTAGGCTGTTCTGCGCTTTTATGGCTTTAGGGTTTTAGGGTTTTAGGGCTTTAAGGCTATCGGGTTTTAGGGGGTCGCAGAGGACGCTGGGCTTCCTAAGACCTACACCATTGGGGTTGGACTTTGACTAGGCAAAGAGACGCGGCTTCTCAAGGTACAAGCCACGGTTTAGGGTAGAGAGGGTTCAGGGTTTAGGGTTTAGGGTCCTGCAGCGTGCCTGCTTCAGAGACGGGTGCCGGCGGAAACCCTTCCTGGCCAAAATGCGACGTGTGCAGAGAAGTGGGGGCGTAAGCTTGCTTGTGATTCCGGTTGAGGGTGTTGGGTCTGGTTCACGGGTCGAAGACAACGACCCGAAGGCCTCGGCCCTAAGCAGACGCGACCCGCAGAGCGCACCATCAAAAGCAGAGCCAGAAGCACAACAAGAGCAGCACTCAGGACATAACCAGTGCGATGCCCCCTTCAGACGCACCATGGAACTGCAAGCTTGCGTAACACCATCTTCGACCAAGCTACCCATGCACATGCTTCACAACCCCGAAGCCGGAACATGGACCTTCAACCCTCAGCAACAACCCTACTTGGAGGTTCATGGGTGGTGATAAGTGGAGATATAAGTAGGGCAACTGTAATTATAACCGAAATTAGGGGACCTATAATGCCATGTATAACTAACTACCCATGGACCTCCAAGTAAACCCTAACCCCTCAAAACCGAACACCTGAAGGAAGCGGACGACTGCAGAACTGCCTGAAGCTCGAACCTCACCCCTAAATGGCATGCTAGTTCTGCCTGAACATGGAAATAGGACTCTGGAGCACCGGCCAGTCCAAACTTATCGGGATTCTGCGAAAATCACCCTAATCCCTGAAACCCCTAAACCCCTAAACCCCTGCGGAAGGCCACATTCAATGCTAATCCTCCTACCCTCCGCTGTCCTGCGGGATCTTCGGCGGCGGTGATTCCGGCCTCAAAGGCCGACACAGCTTGAAAACAGAAAAGGCGAAGGCTGCGAAGAGTGTTTGCATCAAAACCAAACCATTTGAGAAAATTAACCGTGTCTTGAAAAACTCATAGATTCTGGCATCTCTTAACTGATACTCCTGCGATGGCGAGGAAGAGGACGACGAAGACGGGGGCGACGAAGGCGGCCAGACAACATTGCCAGTACTACTCGTACTAGGTGCTGCTACCAGTACTCACACTCGCGCTGCCATTGTAGCGGCAGCAATAGCAACTGGACGAGGACTCCGACCACTACTGCTACAGCAACCGATGACCACGACGAGGATTGCTGCTGCTACTACTACGAACTCTACACGTCTACTGCCACTGCCACTGCTTATGCTGCTGCGACTGCTGCTGCTGCTGCTGCTGCCGCTGCCGCTGCCGCTGCCGCTGCCGCTGCTGCTGCCGCTGCCGCTGCCGCTGCCGCTGCCGCTGCGGCTGC